ATTTAAGCAAACTTTTTCTTTAAGTAAAAATATGAATTACTGAAGAAAAGAGCATTCAAGGGAACTTACAACTTGTAAGTTACAAGACTTCGGTTTTACAAGTTTGTGTCTCAAGTCTATAGATTTGAGAGCTTATTTAATCTAAAAATTTCAAGTAATTTCAATATCTCTTTAAGTGGTACAAATGTGCTTATGTGCTACAGTGTTTCCCAACATTTTTTTTATTGCAAATATAGTTTAAATAATACAGCTTATTATGATGTATAGTATACCTACTCGTATGTTTTATAACATTAATTAAAATTATATATAAGTATTTTATTCAATGCCTAGTTACATGTTTTAAGACGAAATCAAACGACTAAGTTATGAAGTCTCTATTTTGCCGGAATATGGAAAGCATCGAAAACCACGGTGTGGGCCTTAGAACTAACTAAAACTAGCTCTTTGCAATGAATGTTAAAGATTTCCACAGCAATATAAAAACTTTATTTAAGGAATCAGTGGAGAAAATGTGACCAAGAGGCTAATTGTCTAGCGGACTAGGTTTGTCTAAGCCAAAAGGCATGAGGGATACGCTGATGGAATGTGTGGAGTGATGAAAGCGGGGTTATGTGATGGATTCTGTGACCAGAGTCACGATAGCCGTGGTTGTAAAGGCGAATAATAGTATCAGAATAGCATCAGAATCCCACCCTTCCATACTGAAAGGGTTTGTAGCGCAACGCTTGGAAGAGGTCTGCGGCGAGGGATTGCAGACCAAATGGAGTAGGTGTACGAGAACAGGGGGTGAATGAGCTGTTTATAGCAGTTTAACTGGTTGTGTCTTCGAAAGTCACGAAGTTCGTTGCTAATGGCATCCACGTGAGGAATGATGTTGTGTTGGGAGAATAACACAATAACCAGGTTGGATAACGGTTGGATAACCCCACGAAGACAAGGCAGTCATCAGCGCAGCAGATTTGCTTGTAAGTCAAGAAATCTTTTCCATGTGATACTATATTTGTCATTTTTTAAATAAGAGCAATCAGTTTCTGCATTTAAGTCGCTTCAAAATATTTAAAAAAAATATATTATTTTATAGCAATCTATCTTAAATAGATAAAGAATGTTATGTATATTTCTTTCAATTTAACACTTTTGTTATCATTACTATAACGCAACTTTTTGTCCAGGTACCTACCAATGCCAAGTATAATCACCTAAAGCAATAGCAGGGCCTGGATGCAGGTCACACCGATAAAAGTATTAAATGACTAATAATGGACCCTACCTTGAAGTTATACCTACGTTATCCCGCAATAGGACAAGGTCTCTAGGAATAAAGATAGTTTTAGTCTGATGCTAGAAATTTACTTCGGAAGAAGGAGGGGCTTATTAGATAAAATACTTTTGAAATTTTTTCAAATTCAAAACATTTCGTGATGAGTATACATGGCAGCGATTCTGACATTTCAAAAATTGAATTAAGTTATTAGTCCATTCAGTATGAAAAACATCGGACTTCTTCAAATTTACGATTAAAGTAAATTTAGAGGTAACGCTTAAGTGCAAATAATATGTGCACAAAACGTGATATTATATTTGAAGATTCCGTCTATTTAACGGACTGAATTAAAAAATTTTTTTAAATAACTTGTTCTAAAAGTTTAGGGACCAACTTTCAATAATTGGAGTTTATTGCTAATAAAGCTCAATCAGTTACAATAAAGAATTACCAAATATAAAAATGAAATCAGGATTTGTTGACTCCAGCTGTCATTGATACAATTCTGTCTGAAGAATTAATAAAAATCGATCACGGGAATTTTGACATAAATATTTAGTATTATTGGAGTCAGCGACTCATGCATTTGAGGAATGGCATTTACTAATCTTCCAAGTTTTGCAGTAGAACCAATAACGTATCCAAGCGACCTTCAATATCTAGCAATTGAAGTCCGACATCGGTATAGAAGTCGAGTTCATCATTGAGTTTCTCGCGCTGCTTTTGATTTGCACTCTTTAAAACCTGCATTGAAGTAAACATTTTTTAATAGATTTATAATTCAATATATATAGATATATATATGTATATACAGATATATATGTATATACCTCAACTTCAGTTCCATCTACAACGAATTCAGATTCTTTCTTAATGGGTTCTAAGTCATCCATTATAGAAACAGTTTTTCGTCAATAATTAATAGATATAAAATAAAAGTTTTCAAAATAATAAGTAGCAATTTTGATTCCACAAATTGGCTTTTTTTTAATTTTGTATATACTTAAATACAATAAACTTAAATTCAACTTTTGATTTGAATTAAAACAAAAAATTCATATATGGAATAGATTTAAGAAAAAAAAACACAGCTTACTTTGTTATTTGTACTTGACAAGATTAAAAATACAATCAAAGCTATATCTCATCCAGATAATTTTTTAGATTAAGTGCTTAAATAGAGGGCCTTTAATGCTATTAGCGAGCAATATGACTAGCGCTTCTTTAAATATATTTCATCTAAGTGTAGTCAAGAAGTGTATGAATGCAAAAATTCAACCAAAAAAAACGAATACAAACTAAAAAAGAACTATATTTTGGGAAAGTATCTCTTATTAGCGAATATCCGATATCTGCGATGGATTCACTGAAATAGCAATCTTTGCATACTAAGTTTTGGTCCATTGAATATACTTTAATTTGATGCTTAATTTATCTTATTGATTATATTAATGATGCTTGAAAGCTTCAGAAATAATTATAGTCAATTATTTCGAAAAATTTAATTATTTTTGCAGGAACCTCAAATATTTGTGAAATTTTTTTTGATAGATTTTCGAATACCAATATTTGGGAATATTTTGGGAATATTTGGGAATATAATTTTTTAGTCTTTAATTTTCTGAAACGAGCTACCTGTTGATATTTTGGATGAAAAACATAAATTTGCTGCGATGAAATGCTTTTAATAATTATATATTGTATAAGATTATCAGAAAAATAATTTTGTTTATTGAAATCAAATTAACATTTTACCGACACATATATTGTCCACTCCAAACCGACAACTTTTGAAATTCTCCTGGTAACACATAAATCAGTTAATAAATCGAACTGTTTCAACTAATTTTTGATCTCCTCATTTGAAGCAAGATGTATACCATCTTTAAAAATTTAGTAAAACTGGAATAAGTAAAAATAAGATCTTTGAGAATCTGGAAAATGTGGTTTGTGTGGGATTTTACCCCTTCAAACTCTAAAAGCTTTTAACGAGCTATAAAAATTTAATTATCTTAATGAAACATTCTAATTTTCTATTCAACTTTAGTGGTCTTATCTATATAAATGAATTATTGAATTTGTCCAAACATACCACTCAGTAGAAGCTCGAAAATGCATTTCCTTTGAAATCGCATAAGCTTAAATTAGATTTTTTTATGAATATAGAATTTTAATATGGCCTATATGAAATATGAGATATGGTCTATTAACTCTGAGCAAATTCATCATGAATTTAATATTGCTACAGATAACTCATTTGTAGTTCCAAACCGTAACACGTCTTAAAAATGGACATTGAATAGCAGTTCACATCAGCGCGTCGGAACAAATTTCTGTTCCTGAGCATATAAGGAATCTATATGTCTAGATTTGAAGTTAATATTACATTCCCATTGTCTCATTCAGTTGGTTTTACTCACTATAGCCACGAATCAGGATGATTTACCATACAAAGCGCCTTTATATTAATAAGTTGATTAACAATAAATTATCTCATTTACGGCGAAAAAATTTGCATGCAAACCTTAAAACTAAAATTACCATAAGTTTATAAAGGTTTTGTCAACTGCATAAATGAGCTCATTATAATATGAACGTTCACTCATTAATATATATGAGCAAGTGCATAAATGAGACAGTGTGAATGCGCTATTAACCTAAAATAGTGATATCACTCTACTTTTGTTAACATTTACAACAGATAATTATTTAAAAAATACCATAAAAATTATTAAGATAGTTCGTTTAAGTTCGTATTAAGTGAAGTTAGTTAAAATTAACTTAAAGTTTTTAATTTAATGTTACGTGAGGAGACAAAGGTCCAGACAGTTCCATTACATAAATCAGTACGATGAAGTGCTTATAATAATCATAAGGCAACTGTTTAGATTATTATTATTTACCAAGTTTCTTTCTTGTAATAGTGAATACCTTATGGTTTTATTTAAATGCCCTGCAGATCTCGAGTTGCAGTATGAACATTGACACAATTAGTTATTTTCCACAATAATTAGGAACTTAATTGATCACTTAACATTTAATGTTTACTAAATTCAATCTATAGTAATGAAGTTTGGCAAAATATCCCAAGACTATTAACAATCATATAATACTTTCTGCTCAAAAAGTATCCGGATTTTGTTGTTTGTTAACTACTCTTTAAGTAATAGACCTTTTTCAAACATTTTTTTTTGTTATGTTAGTACACCCGTTCTTGACATATGGTACAAATTTGAGCCCCATCTGTCAATTAGTTTGTTTACAGCAGCTGTTAATGTGAGACTACCTCAAGTGCATTTAGCGATTTTTACTATGAAAAATTCTTGTTCTACTCGATTTTTTGACCAAACACGACATCACTGTCATCGCTCAGGCACCATGTTCGCCAGATCTGGCGCTGTGCGACGTTTTCCTGTTCCCGAAACTCAAATTGCCCCTTCGTGGTGTTTTGAGTCGATTGAATCGGTAAAAGAGAATTCGCTGAAGGAACTAAAATCCATACCTGGACGGGCCTACGAAAAGTGTATGGAAGATTGGGTTAAGCGTTGGCATATGTGTATCGCTTCAGAAGAAGCATATTTTGAAGAAGATAAAATAAATTTTGAATAAAATTCAAATTTGTGTGTTTTATTTACACAATCCGGGTACTTTTTGAGCTGAAGGTATATATAAATCTTATGCTAAAGAAATGTAATCTTTGGATACAAATTGAAATATTTTAACTACTTGCATATAATATTTTTATTATGTATTTTACTTCAAAATATAAATAGAAGTTTTTCTTTAATGTTAATATTTTATTTCTTTACATCTACGCTGAGTTTTCTTCCAGTTTTTCACTAAAATATACAAATTTTTGCATTCGTGCTTAAAAAAGTTTAGCCAGTGTAGACGTTAAGTTGGTATCCAGCTGATATGATACCTAACAACTCGATTTTGGTATGCACTTTCCATCGTTTCCCTTTACAAAGCCATCTTTACAAACACATCCGATGACACACTGCATGGTACACATACGCATTGGGTCACTGTTGCAAGTTTCTGGACAAGCTGATCCACACCATGTGTATTCTTCATTTGGACCACATTCTTCTAAAATATAACATATGTTTTAATAAATAATAAAATTATCTTTATATTTTTTTTAAAAAAAGTTTCACATACCATTTTGTGCATTAACTGCCAAAAAGGCACCAAGCAAAAGGATCACAAAAGAAAATTTTCCGTACAACATTTTTGAAATAGAATTTATGAGACTTCACTCTACAAAATTCAACAGAAATATGGATTTTTATACAGAATGATTCCCATTTAAAAATGCAAAATCCAATGATCTCTGGTATTAAAACAAACACAGATGTCAGCAAAAAATAAATAATATTAAACGAAGAATTCTTATTAAACACAATGGTTGAGATAAAAAGATTTTGTTTAATTTAAATGCAATGAACTGTAAAATGTACCAAAAGTAAAATTATTAAATAATTTATGGGATCAGTTTGCTTTTATTTAAACAATTAAAATTAAAAAAAAATTGTATAAACATAAATAAAATAAATTCGTAGATATTTACACCGATGCCTATGGTTATTTGGTTTACTTAACATAAGGGTTTAATGCCTTTTTGAAAAGATCAAGTCTACGAAATACAGTGTTTCTTTAAACATACCTGAGATAATTAATTTAGAATATGTTTTATTTTAAAATCACAGATTTGCTTCAAAAAAATTATAACTCCACATTATTATTATTTAAGTAATAGGCTATTAAAGCACCCAGACCTAAAAGATCTAATGTGCGCCTAAAGGCCCAACTAGAACAATTTTAGACTATTTATAACTCTTGTAATTGCTGTGGGCTTAATTTTACCTATTTGATTTGGGACTAAGATCCCGCTTTGAAGATAATCGTATTTACGTCTTGCCACCGCTGGGTAGTTGCATAAAACATGTTCTGATGTTTCCTTCTCCTCATGACAGAGTCGACAGGAGTCACTTTCTACCACACCTATAATCTTCATGTGGTAATTAAGTCCACAGTTCAGTGTAGATTTTAATATCGCTTCTGTTAAGGCCAAGGACAGCATCAACTTTGATGTGATCAGAATTAATGAATGTTTTTGACTGTCGCATGCCTGTTTGGGCTCTCCAGAGTTCAAGTAGATGTTGTTTCTGCCGTTCACTTAATAAGCTATTTGTGAAGCTATTTGTTACCCCGCAGAAGGGCTCTGGACCAATGGAGTACATGCACCCTTCTTTGCTACGGAATCTGCTATTTCATTTCCCTCATGCTCTTCATGTTCCGGTACCCACATAAGATTAACATAGTTCCTCGATGCTAGGGTGCTGCGAAGTTGAAAGCATTCCCAGACCAACTTTGAATAACTCCACATAGATAATTCTTGAAAATTTAAACATATGATTTATAAAATATAAATGAATTTTTTATCTTCTTCTTCCTGTTCTTGACTTAATGCTATTACGCACTTTTACTCTATAATGGCTGGGGGGCTTATCACTATCCCACACTAGGCTTTAACTAGGCTAAGAAGTCATATAAATTCAATTTAAAGCAATTTTTAGTTTCCATTTACTGGATTCAATTTTTTCATGGATATTAAATTTGTAAATATTTGTACCAATCCAAAGTTGTTTCAAAATGCTACAAACTCTTAAGCTTTATTAAGTGTATAACATATATTTGTTTTTAAAATTAAATTAGTTTTCTATAAGTTTTTCTATAAACGAGTAAACTAGTTTGTAATGTTGAAGCTAAGCTCCTATTAAAAACGGATAAAAATCTAAAAAACATTCAAAATTTATGAAATAATACTGGACATTTTGGATTTAACCAAAACTTGGTGATGACTTTTATTCTGACATATAATACCACTCAATAAATTTGACGTTAATATGGCAACACTATTGACCACCCATATGATCTTTTATTCCTCAAAGAATACGTATCAAAATTTTAGGATATTCTGCAGTTTTGGTAACAGCAGATTTGAAGATTTTGAAATTTTGATCAATTTTTTTTTTTGAAATGAGTAAATCCTTTTTTGGCGAGACGACAAAATATTGTTTAAACCAAGCAGTAACTTGGTTGTAAAATCCACGAAATACTTTTAAAAGAATGCATAAAAATTGTGTTAGGTTGCAAATTATTTGACATGTAAGGATTGTTCTTGAAGTATCAATGCAAATTAAACCATATAAAATAGAGAACAAATCACGTCTTCCCTTATGTCAAAATAATCGAAACAAGTATTGAGATTGGGCATTTTTAACAAACTGTAGTTTGAAAAGAAATCATTGATATTGTTATCATTTTCGCCATAATTACTGAACGATATCTGTTCCTTCATTTTTATCGTTCCTGATATACTATTTTAAAGAAAAAGTTTGCTTAGATCATAAATATTTTATGTATTACTGACGATCATAGTAATCGTATTATTGCCAATTTTTGTTACATATTTACCAATATTGAGATCCATAAAGTTAATATCACTCTTACGATATGACTATAATACTATAACTTTAATTGCAATGTCATGTAAATTTATATCACCCATAATTTATTTTAAGTTTTTAAGAAACTGTCTCTGAGAGTAATTATTAAAGTTAATCTATCTAACAATTTTGTGCTGTTTTTGCTTTTTCCTTAAGTTTCTATCTGCAATCTCAATAATCTGATTAAAATAGATCACAACTATAATCTCACAGTGTCTGTGAACCCAATACGTATTACGAATAGAACAAAAATGTATTCTGTTCTGTAAGTACAAATGTCCAAAAAAGTTGTATATAATATCGTTAAGGATAAAAATACAATATTTAAAAAAACGTGATCGTAATGGTATGTGCTGATAGCGGCCCGCAACCCGGCATTTGAGAAACCCTGCTCTAAAATATTAACTAAATTTTATGGGTACATACATGTTTTCATTAATATTAAATATAGTAGCTCTAGAATTATATGAGGTTTTTTTATTCAGTTTCTGTCTACATTTTTGTTTTACTAATTTAAATTTAAATATACTACGGGAAGATATATGTCCAATCACATCAGGAGATGTTTCTGAACCCCATTGATGATCGATATGGGGTAGTATGCGAAACAAATCTATGATTTTTCCAACAATCAATATAATATTAATATAAATACATGCACTTTTGAAAATAAAACCACATACGTTTAATCTATGGATATATGCGAATGCTTTCAGGTCATGGTCTCTTGTTATAGTGAACAACTCATTTTTTGTTCACGTCCACAGTCATTATACGTTTCAAGAATTGATAATTTTTTCTTGACATTTGTCATTTGTCAATGCAACGGCACACATTTTTTCCCTCAAAGCATGATAAACCTATATGACGAACTTTCAGATTAAACCGAATAATAAGACGTAGTCTTTCAGCGACGAATGAGCTGTTAATCGGTTTATATCAATTAGTGCCTTAATTGTGTCTTCTTCAGCTTTAACCGATCAGTTGATCAGTGATCCAGATTATTAGTGGTTGTGCATTTTAAACACAAAATTGTCGAAACTAAAATTTTGCAAACCAGTTTTGACCCTGCAGTTCTGTTAATAGATCTCCTTTCCTTTTTTAGATACCCACCACAACTCAAAATGCAAAGTTCTTATATGATCAACGTTTCTATTATTTTTAACTACTTTTTAAGTTAACAAAAACTATCTTTACATTTTTTTCTTTTAATTATAACTGATAATTAAAAGTTTCGCTATTGTAATTTTATATTCTTACCAAAAATACTTTTAATTTATAGTTCAAACTGTTGTTTTTTTAATTATACTCATAATAATGTAGTTTTAATTTAGCTATGAATTAACTGTATTTCACATAATTTGACTTTAGATCCATTAATAAAATAGTGTAAAGAAGCACTTTGTGGTCAATGAACAATGAGCTGTCAAGTAGCACTTTTAATTTTTTAGTTTCTATAAAATTAAACGTTCAGAGTGGTAATTAATTAAGACTTTTAATGCAAAAAGTATTCTCTACTATATTTTAATATAATGTAAATCCAAATTCAGTAAAATTCAATAAAATTTAATTCTTTTATTGAACAATTCATGACAGAACTAACAATACAAACTAAAAATCTTTTTTTTAGTAGAAACCAGTAAACTTCTGTATTCGTTTTATGTACATATATTTATTAAGAAGAATCTTTACTATTACAATAAAATAGTATAATAGTCCAGTAACGAATTTAAGAAAAAAATTCTACATATTTCAGAAATTATTCTTAATATTTTTGTTTGAGTTTTTAAAGTTAATTTAAGTTTGGCTGTCGTCTGACTCTTCTTAGCATTGGGATGGTGAAACGCATTTACCATTGTCATTACGAAGGAACCCTTCCTTACAAGCGCATCCAATTAAGCATTGCTCAGTGCAAAAACGGGCTGGAGGAGTATTACATTTATCTGGACATGCTGTGCTACACCTTGCATACTCTTCATTCTCTCCACATGAAAAGTTTTCCTTATCCAACAGTATATCTTTGGCTTGAGCACTAATAACACCCAAAAGACTTACAAGAAGAAGAAGTGCAAAAATAAATTTTATATAATTTTTCAACATTTTTAAGTAGCGTTAGTATTTTCCACTTCACTTTATGAAATTCAACAACATACTGAGTTTTAAAAAAGAACCCAAATCAATTAATTAATTTCAATGTTATGAAAATAAGAAAACTTGTTTTTTGAACAGGTTCAAAATAGAAGAGACTACTAATTATTAACAAATCTGTTAAGGTTTCAAATATTCATATCGAATGCGAGTAAGACACCTAATACCCTAATAACGAAGAATAAAAAAATATGTTATAATACATAAATGTATCTGCAATTTCCAGTTTCTTATCATCAAAAGCAGCTACGAAGAACATATTTATGAATTAAATTAATAATTAAAGTTAGTATTAACACCTCAAGTAAAGGTATTAAAAATACCTATGCATTCAAGCTCACCTATTGACTGCAGGTACAGAAGTAAATGTAGATACATAGTTGTTGAGAAGAGTATTTCTTTGCTTTATGAAAAAAATATGGAGAGAAGAATAGCTTTAGTTCAGCTATAAAAAAATATTATGACCTCAAAGATTCACATGTAAGTTTAAGTAACAAAATGTGAATATTGCTGGAACATATTACTATTTTATACAATGTTTACAATTTATAACGATTAAATGTAGTAATACATATATTATATTATAATAATTTCATTTTACAATAAAAATAGA